GGGAATTGTGTAAACAATTACGAAATCCTAACCCACGATGAGCCGTCCAGGAGAATGGTGGATCCCCAACATAATCCCTCTTCACGGGCTAATGCATAAGAACGTGATCCCACTGTGGCTCACTATCATGATGCGACTGTTAAAGTATTTAAACAAACAAATCTGGTTCTGAATCTGTGTCAGACGGATATGTCAACTTTGGGTCCAGTAATGTGAAGAGTGAACTAAGAAAAGAACGTCCAATGAATTCACACGAGCATTCTGTCATTTCTGCAGCTTGTCAGCTCATGCACCACCAATCCGGAGAAAAAATGTGGAGCGGTCCTATCAACACAATCCGGCAGTTAGGGTTCATGTAGCAATGCTGCCAACCACCCCGACACAATTCAGTTGTCTTTCGAAGACAATCACGAACAGGAAGAAAAGGTCTTGTGGATCGCAGTGCAATGAAAGAAAATTTGCAACATATGGGACTGAAAAGGGTCGTGATTAAGTCTCAAAGTCGATTAAGAATGCTACAGTCTTCCTCAGAAGAATAATTAAATGGATATTCCAGGGTGCCTCAACTTCCCTATCGCATATAACAAAACACGCGCCAAACTGCATCTCAAGCATTTCGCTAAACACCTGCAATCGCTAAATAAATTGTCGAAGGTCACTCAAGAAATAGGATACGCTGAAAAGGCTTCAATATTGCTATTACCTTTATCACAACTCTGTTCTCCACCTGCACCAACCAGACGGAAATATCAACGTTCAGATGATTGTTTGGTATAAAATCAATAAGTGGAAGCGCGAAAGTAAACGGTGGAAAGAAGAAAACGCTCAGCTTATTAAAAACTTCTATTCAAATTTGGACATCCCCCTTCCCAGTTCCTCTACAGACGGATCCTTTTTCTCATTTAACTGTCTGTCGATGCCCCCACTGGACGGAGGGGGTGTAACGTTTGTCATGTTATTTCCATTTAATCCTTTGTTTTACTACACTGGTTATGATGGGACTCTATTCAAAGTACCCAATAGTTGTGAGCGACCGTATTTGATGTAAACATCAACTACTTATCGTTTACAGTAAACCCTACTTATCGTCGTAATATTTATTGTTTAGGATAACCGCTATCAAAATCGACCTTACCGGATTATTATCGCTGTTCTTCGATTCCAACGCGTATATCCACGGTTGCTCATGCTAGTGTTATTTACAAATAGGTTATTTATCAGAAGTGATTTATGCCTTTATTTGGATTTCAACTGAGACTTGGACGCCTGTGCCACAGGTGTTCTTTTTCCAGAAGCACGGCCTCAAAACTGCACGAGGGAACTTCAACTACCCAGAGATAATCGCACCCAAAGAAAATAGATTGTTGATTTGTTTGATTTGACCAGTCTCCCAAATACATCCAATGTAAGACTTACATGAAAACATCTATGTAGGCATCCATGTGCTGAATCACACAAGTAAGCTTGAACCTTCACTTACTTGTAACTGTAAAAAACCATGGAAGGGCTGAACATGACGAACAGCTTCTGATAATGCAGTTTAAGTGTATTTTCAAGACATTCATGCAATAGCGTCATTCAAACTCTATAATTTCATGGCCATTAGTAAAATGACAACATCGGACGATTTGAGACAAATACTTTTAAAATCCTACAGGCTTTTTTCCAAATATCAATTGGAAAAGAGAGGGAACTCAAACCTTTGTGTTTTTATACAATACTGGTTTATTAACGTAACGCTACTCATCCAACACTTACTCAGTGCATTGGTGAAACGCCCGCCTGATAGGATATGGGGCTAGAAATAATACACCTTCTTTTCACCTTATTGACGTCAGAGAAGCCCGAAAACTAAAGAGAAGAGAACACACCCTTCCGCTGTTCACTCTGGCTACGCAACCCCGGCCTTAGTTCAGTTGCGATTGGTTCAGCCATGAATGAGGCTCCTGATGTGGGTTTCGAATCCACACGGGGCCAGTCAAATTGTCCCCGTCCAGATACGTCACGGGACCATTAAGATGACCAGAGGTAACCCTTTACTCCTCTGTGTTTACGCTCATTTACTGAAAAAGGACGGAACGGACATGCGGGTTGCCGGAAAGGGTGTGAACTACCGAGGGTATGTTTTGACAGAAATGTTGGACGCTAGTCTTTCCACTAGTCTTTTGACCTTTCGATGCCGCACCGAGAACTCAGCATGTTCAGACTGGCGTCTGGACCCTTGCACAGACAGCATTAGGCCGGAAGTGACCACCGAGGTATAAAAGGGGGGTCATGGACACATATTCGTGCACTCAGCAACGTGATGTCAAGACTATGGAAGGCTTTATGGGTCTGTTGCGAATAATTACTTCCCAGTTTGAATCGCCTTAATTTGTCAAAGAGGCAATACGTGCTCCTGTGTCAGTCCTCAATAGCGCCGTAGACTCACATGTATCATAAGAACAGACACATGAAATCTGTCCCAAGTCCCTTTTATCACTGTCGTTGAAGGCGATAAAAGGCAGTGGATGGGGCTTGTCTTTTAAAGTCTTGTCCGTGAACTGAAAGCAACTTGACAATTTAGTAGGTAGGGACAGGAAAAGAGTTCAAGTCATGGCAGAAGATGCCGTGAGAATGGAAGTGGTGTGCCATTGTTGAAGTGGGCTTTTGTGTAATTGTTGAAAATGTCTAACTGCTGGTTTTGGGTTCTATGAGAATGAATTGAGTGATATGCGTGGATTGCACACAGCCTTCGTCTAAAGTAAGCGGTTTTCGCGCGCATGTATTGTTGTGCTCTTCACGAGGTCAACAAAGGTCATAATGTGTGTGTGCGAGAATTCTTCACAAATACACAGTCAGGCTGTCCTTAGGTGCACACAAACCCCGTAAAAGTACGAAAACACTCCGTGTGCGCATTGAGCCGGAGGGCGGTTAGGCCATCGAGCTTCGTGGATGATCATTGAGAGATAAACGGCGTCAATGCAAACAAGATCTCGGCCATTTGGGCCTTAGGTCAGCGAAAATTAAAAAAAACGAATGATTAAGTATATCTTAAAACAAAAATAGGTAGGTGCCTCTTCCATATTACGGCATGCGCCCACTGTTTGTTTTGGAAGAATAGCTGGGGAGGTTTGCTCAAATTTAAACTTTTGCAAAGTTTGGGAGCAAATAAAGACTGTGACCGAGAAGCTATCATGGACTGGTCATATGGGGCTTAGTGAAATTGAATGAGATTTAAATGCTGATTTCCTACTACCAAGACAAATGTCTTTACTACCTTTCAGTCTCATAGTCAGATAAGATTTATCTTTTTCCGCACGACTATACTTCCTTTTTCTTCAATAATAATATTTTCTATGGGTTTGATCCACCAAATTCATGCCCACATTCTTAAACCTCCGTCAGTACATTTCAAGATGATACAATCACTGCCCCTAAGCGTCTTCCGACTTTGCTCCTCCTAGGTATGAGTGGAAGGAATCAGTCCAAAGGATCTGGAACCACGGTTAGGAAGGTTAGACAACCAAGGGTGACGTCAAGGGATACAAACCAAACCCTCGACCTGGCACATGTGCATCGTATTTATTCTCTCCAAAAGTGGTTGGAATGGAAACTAAGGAATGCTGGTTCAAATTGAAGCAATTAAAATCAGCAGGTTGGTAGTAGTAATTAGATTTGTCAAATTCCTGCAGTAACTGTCAACATGGCCATTATGATTTCATCCGGTTTCCACATCGGAGGCCACGTTTACAAATATATCACCATGAAAGTGTACCACTAATTCCCACGTCTGCTGTGAAAAATCAATCCACGTTTGCCAGTGTCTGACAAGTAGTATAACATATGTTTTAAAAAATATCACAATATTTACGCAAATAGTAGCTCTAGGTCGTTAGTTTGCTGTAAAATATACTACTACAAAATTTCAGTGACCTTGATTATATTTTACGATACTTGAATTTGTGCAAATGACATCCTTCGTTTCAAGAAATAATGCAACTAGCAAATTGAAATGCAATGGAACCAGCCACACCACCGATACACGGCTATTTTCTTAGGGGTTAGACGAAGTTCATCTAAGGTAATTAGCAAAAATGACCTAGGCTGATGTTTTCAATTCATAAGTTTGCTGTCTTTCAAATATGAAATTGCCATCAAACATGAAGTTTTAGGATTGCTGCCTACCTTTTAAGGATATTATTATGGGAAAACATGGTCGTAACCCTTGCTCGCCCGACCACGCTGTTTTCTTAGCTTGGATGGCATAGGAAAGGTTTCTAATTTAACCATAGCGAACTCATCTTCGGGAACGAACGCACAGTCGCTGCCCGCACGACTTCAATCGCGCCCGATATCACTTTCCCTGTTTTTGGCATGGTATTTACACTAAAATGATTGCTACTACTTCGCACCATGTTGTTTCCAGTTACTGTCCGGTACCAAGTCAAACGTCAGTCCAAAGCCCCCATGGAGCGTGGCTGTGGTAAGCCAGTTTTGGCAAGCCGCATTAAAAAATCGACTTCCGGTTAGTGTGATGCATGTCGCGAAAAACTAATCAGGCTGACAAAATTGACCGACATCCTGTAGCTCGTTCCCCTTTGAGAAAAAAACATTTTGATCCCACATACATACATATATATATATATATACGGCACCACTTTAAACATTATATAGAGCGGAAAAAAAAACGCCAAGTGTAAAAACGATGAAACACAAATCAACCGGATCGTTAATGTGCTCCACCAAGGGAGACTGAAACCGGGTGTGGGGTGCGGATGGGCGGCACAAGTAATACGCATTGTTCAGACAAGTATAAATCACAATAATTGTCGTAGGAATTAAAAGGTCTGAGTTTGTGAGAATGGACGGAGGAATAGCAGGCAGTGGATGAGGGGCAAGTCCTGTGTTTACCCTGAAACTGAGTGCAGTGAACTATAGTGTCCTCACCGAGGAAGTCAGTCAAAATGCAGTACGGCATCACACTTTGCTGGGGCCCATTACTGGCACCTCGTGGAGTTTTAGAAAGATGGATTGGTGTAGACCGATGGGGTTGTGAAAATCCGTTGTCCGGCGGTGGTTTGGGTTTCTGTCGAAGTCGGTTGAGGAGCATCATATATCAGACTCCCTAAGATGCTCTGCTCGGCGTCGGGGCGTGGCTGAGATGACGAGCGGAGTTCAGGAGGAAGGATATTTACTAGGCTCGATTCCCCCTTTAAATGGCAACAGAAGAGGCCCGCAAATTTGGATGGGGATATCTCTGTGAGGAGTAGAAGTGCACGTGAAAGAGGAGAAAGCCCTCCATCATCCTGATCACTAGAACAGCAATCTGCATCGCCAGACGTAGCTGAACGTGCTATTCGAATTGTATTAACAGCAAAGGTCGGCAATGCCTCCGGCTGGTCAGCTAAAATTTAGAAAAAACTTATAAGCATGATCTGAAAAATCCCGATCTTTGCGGGGCCAATGAACCATGAGCCTCTGGGAGACTCCATTAATGAGTGCACGAACTCTATCGATAGAGTACACATGACCTGACGAAACATGGTCCGAAGATTAGTCATATCGAATCACACAAAGAGCTCTAGGGATTTCCAAATATTCTGTGCAGAAAGTCTTTTAATCCACTTGCCAGATCAGCCCGCAGAAAGTTGCCTCAAGTAACGTGCCGACACCTCCAGAATGAAAAACACGCTAACGAGAAAAGGTGTTAGTGGTGCTGCTACACTTATTCAAAACGGATAGCGACCTTTTCGTTGTAGTCTAATGTGTTTTGCTTAAATAGAAAAAGCAGCCACACCACAGGATTGGATCTTTGGTTCCTTTTACAGCGTGGAAACGGGTTTCTTTACTAGCGGAGTCAGGTAAACAGAAGCAGCATCGCAACATTTAACGGGTTACCTAGGCATGGCAGACTTCGTTAGCAAGGGCGTAGGTGTGTGGATGGACGAAAACAGGGCCAGAAGTGCGCACAACAAAAATTCCAGACAAAATAACGTGGAGTCCCGTTGGTGTTTTTGAGAAAAAAAAACGACTAACTCTCTAATTGACGTTTCGGTCTAGCACTGAAACGCAAGGAAATACCCTGAATGCATCATAATTCGGAACACCACCTCCTGAAAAAATTCGGTGTGTCCTATTGTCTTGGAGGAACAATAGTGAAACACGCTACTTTAGTACCGACTGGCTAGTCCGCAGCGTATTTTACTAGCTTCACTTTTCTTGGTGCTTTAAGCGCACTGGGCATTAATCATTGTTAAGTACCTCCAAGAGTCGATTACGTGATTTTAATTACAAAAATAGAACCGACAGCTATTACCGGTATACCAGTGTACTTGGAAAGGATCACCCATTTCGCTTGCACGGAGCCCGTAAAGCAGTCGCCTTAGCGCTTAGCAAAAGACTGAAATCTAAGCAAAGTTTAATATAAAAAAAAGTACCTAGCTGACCTAGCTCTCCTTTCCTACATTAAAGCTATAAAGAAATCAGGAAATGTTAAAGTAAGATGGTCAGCGGTTCTCTGCTTTATGCTGCGAATGTGCACAATACACCATGGTCGATTCCGACCTTGTTCAAATAAATCAGACAGTGAATATGTTCTGTGTCCTATGAACAAAATTCATGTCTGTATTGACAAAAACAGTAATTTGCGATACTTCGCCTTGAGGACGCGAATATCTGTCAGGCGAACTTGAACAGAGATAGGGTAGAGGGAAAGTACCATGATTCTCGACATGTACCCTATTGGTCGCACGTTACGGCATTATTCATATGCAGACCAGAAGGATATAACGAGCCATCTGAAATACCAAGGACACTTCACAATTTCCTGAAAGTACACACGTTAGCCTTCTCTAACTACCGTTTTTCCTACCTTTCAACGCCTGAAAAACAGGAAACGAGACACTTTGCAAGGACAAGAGCGCATCGTTTAAACTGCGCGTTTCCCATTGGCCCGTGTGGTGCGCTCGTGCACGCGCACTTAGACGAAACGCCAGCACGTCCGTTAGCAAGTGCCCTGATTGCAGGACACACAAGGCGTGCCATTCAAAGCACCCCAACGGCGGTATTAGGTGCTAGCAGAAGCCAGCTGCCGAAATGCACGGTGATGATGCAAGCATGTGCCTAATAGTGCAAACGGATGTTAAGGGTGCCATGGGGCCCCTTGCTATCGTCAAGGTATTTTCACCTAAAGAACCGACTGCCACCATCCAGAAAAACACAAATCACGCTTGCCACCGAACGTGGAAGCATTAAAGTGGCTGTTATACAGAGAATGGCTTCAAATTTATAACGCAGAAACAGGTAAAGTAATGGTTAGCGGCTGATATGTCTAGTCGATAAAGTACCGCTTAATTTTGATACCACTGACGACTGAGTTTGTCCAAAATTCATGTGAGTAGGCACAGTTTGGCTAAGTACTTTTAGATTCGCTGTCCATTACCTGGATACTGTGAACGGATTTGTGAAAGCTTAGGACACCCGTTCGACTCCCACGATGAACAAAAAGAGTTCACTAATCATTGGTTGATTACGAGACGAAACGACCCATGTAACGAAGTTAGTCGATAAAGTCGGGAAATCTGATTTCCATTAGTTCCCAATTTGAGTGTGATCTACCGTCTTGAGGGGAGACTCCGTTTACACAGCACTGAAATAACTACAACGCACTGAAGGAGACTAAATCTAAATTGAGGATATTATTGGAGAAAAGATTTTTAGCTGCGATAACCTTGAACAAGATTTAATTCCCTTGGAAAGTTCGAAGAAAACTAGGCCACTGGGTCACATGCGAGAGAAAGACAACGCGACTAAAAATACACTTGCGCCATGGCCCAGTTTAGGGATACACGAGCGAGTCCATTATCAAGAACGGCGAGTCAACCTCGTATTTTAGTACTAGCGTCGACGCTAGGTGATTCACTCGGCGCTTGAATTAAATTAGGAATTAAGGTACACGACCAATTAGGATAGCCTCAAGGGGGGATGAGAAGCGTTCTAGCCAGAATATTCGGGTACTAATATTAGAAAAACGCAAACGACAACAAACTAAGTGAAAATTAGGGCATACGAAACCACCGGCTTGAGACGAAGCTGTTTCATACAAGAGGTTTTAACAGAAGTGCACTACGCCATCGAATGGGAACTACTAGGCTTAGCCGCAATTAGTGTAACACTGCGAATCTGCCTTTGGCGTCGGCCTTGTGCGCTCGGATCCACGTGACTAAGCTTAGAGGCAAAGTAAACACCTCGTCCAGGTGAATCTGCCATTCGGCGTAAACAGTTTCATCTCTTCAACCCACTTCGCGACGCATTCCCCGACAGTCACTTGCGGAGATTTTCGAATAGGGACGCATTCCTACAACTACCATCCTTCCTGAAGTACTTTTAGTTTTTAAGTTTGTGATAGGCGTGTGATGGTGAGGCCTTATCACTCACAATTATCGACGACAGGAAAACGCCCTTCTTCAAAAGTACGGCAGGCACCAAATCTGTGGATTGCCTGTCATTATGGCAAAGGGTTTCGCAATAGAAAAAAAGGTTATGCGAACTCGATAGAGGAATTTCGGAAAATTACCAGTTAGAAGAACAGCCTTTCTTAGCATTGCGAATTCTTCCGATGACAGGTTTTGTTCCCGAATTCCATTTAAACAATGAACCACCTGGTTAGCGAATTTCCTCGTCGGCACTAGTTGTTGGACGTCGGATGAGAGCGCCAACCATGGCAGAATTGGTTCGCCAACTGACAAGTGCTCGGCCGCGTGCGGCGACTCCACCAAGACCACATCTAATGCATGTTCTGCCATCGAAAGGATTAGGAGCCGGTGCCAAACGGAGCGAAAAGCCAATGTCCACGAAACAGGAAGCAGTTTGTTGGATTGTGCAAATTCAGCAGCTTGTCGCAGCCACTCCGACACTCTAGCATGCACGGGACGGGCTGTTTTTTTGGCCAACTGGACTGCTTCGATGGTTTGTGCTGTTGTAGTTTTTCGTGTCCTAACGGAACAACCCGTCAGATCCAATGGCTCATCTAAGCCCGAGTCGGTGGAAGTAGACGAGAGACCCGGTGACAGGTCTAGGCATGGGGAAGAAATGAGGGCAGAAAGGATTGAATGGGCTGAGGTAGACGAGTTGGGGAAAGTGGAAGCCCTAACAGCATTTACTGCGACGCATTCGTCTATAGCACGACCAATCTTGGGCCTAAAAGACATTGGGACCGTGGCTGGCCCACTTCTGCCTCGCAGAGTGGCAGGAATTCGGTCGCCCCTCGAGGCTGAATATCCACCGAAACTGAATCGTCGCAGGCCCGTGAATTCCAACATGCTACGGCTTTGCTCCGGTTCCTCAAACCTGTGCTTCTTGGCCTCTGATATCGACGTGGTATTGGTCGACGCAAACGGCTGCTTAAGACGCACGGGGGGGATTTTCGAGTCGGAGGAAATGAGCAAATTGTAGAGGAGTCCATTGTTCCGAGATGGCGGATTTTGTTGGACTGAAGGAGCTGGAGGATTTGCGGGAGATAAGCCGTTAGATGAGGAGCGTGAAAGAGCACTGCTGTCGGTCATCGGATGAAGGGGGGAGGAGGATGCCGTGGACGCAATTTCTCGAGGACTGTCGTCCATATCACGAGTCATTAGGGAGCGGAGAATGTGACCATCGAGCGAATTAGCTCGGTCGCGAGGTAGTTGATGCAAAGGGTTGAGAGGAAGGGGGGTCTTTGTGAAAAAAACAGGACTCGGGGAAGTTGGAAGAAGGTGTGGCGGTGCGTTAGCGCCAGTACGGTCGACTTGGTCGCGGTTTGCTAAACTTGCCGCCAAGTTTGTATCCTGGTCGTTTCCCAGATCCTCGGTGACTCTAAAGAGACCCAAGCATAGTCATTACCCGGTCTTCTTGTTTGCCTCTTTATTAGCTAATAGAATCTATTCCTAAACTTGGAAATTTGAACGTATCCAGGCGGGTAAGCCGGTAAAAATTTGGCATGGAATCAAATAATTGCCACGCAAAACTATGACGAATTTTGGCGTACTGTTGTAAAGTGCATTCGTGTAGATTGGTTCGAAATGGGATCAATTCAATTCCAGAGAAAAGTTTTTCAGGGATGAATCAGGCCCAAGCGAGCATTCTGATATCAGTGACCAAGCAATTTCGATAAGCTCTGCTCAAAACCTAGGAAAGGTAAGCTAAAGAGGTTGGCTTTCCTTTCCAGGTTGACCAAAAAGCCCACACATGAGCATCGTGCATATTTATAGACAACCACGGCACACCACATGAACCAATGTGGATGTGCGGTGATTTTGTCAAGTGAATTCTGACAAATCTAGAAGAAACGCCTCTCACACATCCCACCATTCAAGTGGAGTTTATTGACAAACAAACCATTCTGTACTTCTGACTAGTTTGCATACTATTAAACCCTAAGAATTTATGCAGCGAAAGGGTCCTGTGTTCACCACCTTATAAACCGAAATATAACAAATTAAAATGTGCTATTTTGACCAACGTGATCACCACCTTCACTGCAATACTACAATCGCCAAACTTTCGACGTATTGCGCTTTGCAACAAACAGGAAAATTTGTCATGCAACTGAAATCATTAAAGCTGTGAGGTATAATTTATGTACATGTGCACAATGCCATACAAGGGCCTTGTGCCTAAAGTAAAAATGCGTTTTTATTTCACAACGATTTTCTCCGAGTGCACTGTGTTTCAGAGCAAATAAGCTTGTTAGAGATGGTAGAAGCGATAATGGTGCCGAGAGAACCAATCCTATCTACTTGAGCTAACGACAAGGGGTACAGGTTGGCAAGTGGCAGCGGACTGAATGAATATTAACAGGTATGAGGCAATACCGTAAAAAATTAACTAGGAAAAGATCAAACATTTAAAACCGAACTTCGAACGCACTTCTTAAAGTACATTGTGCCTTTGGGCGAGGATGAAAGTAATCCCTTTCTGACTCCACCGGTACAGCCCAACCGCCGCCTTAGTGTCTGAACCACTCGCGACGGATGTCGAGAGCACGAGATGTGCAGCAGGGCTATGTGTCGCCCACGTCCGCTTCGCTTTCTCTAGGTCATTCAGTGCGTGCGTCGTGCGTGCGTGCGCACGTATGTCCCACGTGTCGACTACGCACGCACGCACTTCAAGCTCGCTAGCAGGCACGCCTGACGTTTGGGTGGCTCGCGTGCGTGTGCTCTGCCTATTGGCTCTTGTGACCAGCAGCCAACCAGGCATCGAAGTCAAGCCGAGGTGTGTAACGCATTAACGTAACCTTGACCTGCATGTCAGATACACACGCTCGTCTGCGTATGTAAACGGCCAAATTTTGTCGGTCCGAACATATGAATATTGGGATTTCGAACTGTAAAATGGTGCAAACAATGGTAACAGGAAGAAGTTGGCCCAGAATACGTCTGGTGTTAGGTCCCCCAAGGCATACTAATTGTGTTCCTTCCATTTAAATCTGTGGTGCTGAAATGGGATATATTAATGGATAAAATTGTGTTGACTGGTGACAAGCCTGTGGCGATTAGCGAGCGAACATTGTTGATCACGGATCCAATCGTCGTCTTGAGTGCACCCCACGTCACGGTGTTTGTTCAGGGAGCAACGTCTCGCTTTTCTATAAAAAAAAATGACGTCTTAGCACGCTATAGCCGCACACCCTGTACAACCACGCCCTCAGTGTAAGAAAATCGGTTGAACTAGACGTCACCTACGGCCTCCTCTCTCTTGATGTAGCCTTGTCAGGGCCCTCGCTTGGGACTTCTACAAACGCCCCTGAAAACTTAGGTTAGCACAGTAAAACTTTGAACAGTTATAAGTATGGCTTATTGTGCATGGGACATAAAGTAAACAAATTTTACGCCAAATAAGCATTAAAATAACCCGAGTGTAGAATGATTCACGAGTAGACCACTAAACAGTAAACAACCACTCTCCTTCTCGTTAAAAGAGGATTGTATAAACTCATAGGAGACAGTAACTATGGTTTGTAAAGCAGACAAGATGTGCCATGGGCAGTAAGTTAACATGCGTCCATAGTGGAAAGGGTGTTTTGGTGAATTGTGAAGTCCTATCACCCACGTGGCCAACCACCCGAAGTAGGCCATCTAGTAAGACATGTGAATGTTCAACTTTTGGCAGGTTGAGACAGCTCCCCATGCGTCAAATATTCTGTACAGTAGTCCACGCCGTCTTTGTATGGTATCAGCGCTGCGTCGCCAATACGACTAAAATACCTCAGTTTCCGTGTTCATCATCCATGCTTCTTAGTCTCTGTTGTCGGCACATCTGCTGCTCTGGTGGGGTGCCATAATCTCGTTGATCGGACTTCGTAGGTCGCAAAATAAGTTGATTCAGTCAAGTTGCCGACTCTGGAGTGTGAATTTCATGTTGTGATTTGTCACAAGTGAGTTGAAGAACTGAAAACAATACTTCAATAGAAACAGCGTCGGTTTAATGAAGATAGCCCACCAATGGACAAATTACCTTGCTTTGCTTTTTGTACCTCGACGCACGAGCTAGACAGTTTATGATCGACCCTGGTATCTTAAGCTCGAATGCGAAAAGCCAAACCAACATGCCTTTGGATCGATTCTAGGTTCATTACCAGACGTGCGTGGTGAATAAATGTAAGATTAAAATTATGATGGTGCGTGGCTATTGCCTGGTTTGTGCTTGGATAAGCGATGTTATTTAAACCTTTAGCCTTCTATGCGGGCTGCCATGTTAGTGTACTTAATAGCTGAGGGCTACGCCAATACAATAGCAACCTCCACTCTAGTTCCAAAATGCGGAAACCCGCATTAATGTTTACGCGTTGCAACTTGTACTTTTGATACTAGTGGCTCAGGTTGTGGAAAAAAATATCACTCTGCACATATCACAAAGAAGCAAAAAATACGCGGCAAATTTTGGCTACACGAAAGAACGTCTGCACTCGAGTCACGTGGTAGATCACCAGCGTATCCAGCAACGAGTTCAGTTATTCACAAAGGCTGAAGTTTGAAAGTCAAGACCCGAGGGAGCCCCGAAATCCCTTGAAGTTGCAGAATTTCATAGACGGATTTACATTTCCGATTGGAGTCAAATTACAGCACCATTTCTTTTTACAAAAATTGTGGTAAATACAATACTTTCTTCAATATTTTCTTCCTAGTCTGGTAGGCCGTCTTTGGGTAATGTCCCTGATCTAAAACGCCTAATTTTCGTTCAAAAATTACCAATAAATTCTGTGTATTGACGGGCCGAGGTGAGAGCTTTGTGTCTGTTTTGTCGTATTGGCGTTAAAAATAATCAGGTTGATGAAAATGAGGCCTCAAATTATTCAATTAATATTCATAGTTTTTAAATTGACGACTAATCTGTTGGAAGCGATGAATCTAAACATGACGCCCAACGGAAACCTTATCTCGATTAAAAAGCGACGATTTTCGATTTCACATAAAAACCGAATGCATGGAAACGCTGATGAGAATTTTTGATGGATTCGATAAAGCATTTCAAACTTTGAGAGGTTGGACAAACAGGCACCAGCAAGAATATAAACTTGTTAGGCATCACAATTGAGACAAAAAATTGTGACTTGACTACGGGCTGCTTCCGCCTGAAAGCAAAGTTTCGGCTGTACTAGCGTGCGCTTAGACCTTAAGATTACTGTCATTCTATTTTGGAACTTTCAGTAATCTATTAACAATCCAAGAGAATTCATATTTGACATTCATTCGCTACATTAAACTCATTCCTTCTCTCTCATTTCTGTTTCTTATCACGCGTTAGAGGCATGTAATTGTTATGCTAAATGCACTTTTTACCTGGGCCTAAGTGATACACATGTGACCATTAATTGAAATCTACATAAAAACCTTTTATCCTCGTACTGCCCACAGCCTCACTTAAAGCACCGCCACCTTACTACAATGGTTAAATGCTTCCGTGAAGAGTTTCGTTAAAGCGGGACTCAAGGGTGGCATTTGTGCACTAGTCTAGTGACCTATGGGGTCTTTTATTCCCTTGGGTAAGTGGTTAAGCAAGCTCAAATTACACGTTTAAATGTTTTAATGGTTCAGCAATGGGCCATTGTGAATTGGTAATTGAAGTCAAGTATCTTCAAGATAATCAAAAGCCTAATTAAATTAATCCCGTTTTGTAGTCTTCCAAAAACTCATGCTCAAGTGTAAACTTGCTGATTTCGTTAGTATCATAAATTTGTGGTTAGGTTATCCGGTTCGGCATGCAATGACAAGCGGAACGTCAAGAGTAAGACCGCAATTAGCATTGGTGTGGAGGTGGTAGGGGGGTGGCGCGACATAAGTGAATATTTAGTGGAAGTCTTAAAACATCGATTTAGTTTAAACAGCCTAGTGTCGTCCACGCCTCGTCGCAAGGGCAGGTTTGATCGATGGGCCTTCGTCTCCCCTGTGGTCGTGCGTTCAATCGGGACCATAAATCTACCCATGCAAAGCAGGGACGACAATCGCCTCAGTTCGCCTGTGATTTTTCGAGAGCCTTAATGTTGACCTCGCAGTTAACGTGAAAAAAAACAATATTTGTCAAATAATTAAACGAAAAAATATGATCCCCAATTGCCGAAATCAAGCGCGGCGCTTTCAGGATGGACATTAGGTCTATGTAGGTAAGGCATCGCGCAACACTGCACGTCAGGTTGGCACTTGGATTAAACCAGAAAACTACTCGATTGGGAATCAACTCACATTTAGTCATAACAACCCTCGATTTCAATCACGAAACGAGGAGCCTTTAATCCATGCTTCCCTGGTGTTTAAAGCACTTGTTATCGAAACCATGACCACTAACCACGCAATGCAACCCAATTAAAAGGAGTAACCTTGTAAATGACCTTGATAGTGCACAACGTGTTATGCCTTTTATGTACTGTCAAGAACATCCCAAGTTCCGACTGACGCATATCACAAAATCTAACTAGGCACTAGCAATTTCTAAAACGATCATACGTCAATTTACTCAAGAGGTTTTCGACCTAGGACTTTACAATACACATCATTAACCTACTCCGTTGTATTGCGCTTACGGTCGCAGCAACCTAAAATCAGACAAAGGTCAGTCTTTAATACCTCCGCATACCTTCCCTGAGTCAATAGCTAGTTTTCAGTAACCCAAACAAATATACCGGTATCAAGCTCATTGTATCAGCACTTGGACAAAATCAGTAGAGAAACGTTATTCCCTCGTAATCTGCCTGGATTTACAAGCGGCAATGAATCCGTTACACATTGAACGCTTTCAATGAAACATAAGGAGACGCCATCCGACACCCAAAAATCATGCTGCGTAGACTGATATCAAGGTTAATTATCTTTGTAAAATAACAGTTCAGAGACGAGTAAAGTAACAGGTTAATTAGCCAACAGAAAGGAATAAAGGTCTGAAAACAAAAATTATTAAGGTTTTATACCTTTGCCGAAGAGGCTAGTAAAGCAAGTGTGTCAATCATAGCTTCCTATTTAGAGATCATGGCCCAGCCAGTATGTAAACTTTACTATTAGAATTCGCATTCTGTTTGGGGAGTGAGCTGTACTGGAGTCATAGCAATATTTCTACACTCTATTCAGGGCAGTGACCTACTCTGCTCAGTAACCTTGACGTATTAACTTGTAAATATCACCGCCTAAGTTGAGGTCACGCTCGACTGCCGTCGCCATTGCGAGGAAGGTTGGATGACTCATCACTGTTTGACCTTGAAACCCCTGTGGCAGGGTTAATCGTTTGGTGGCAGGGCACCTAGACCTGTCTTTAAAAAAATTGGTGGAGGGCTTTCTGTCTGTCCGATTTCGGGTCTGATTCTTAATTAAAAAAGGCATCACCAAAATTCACGTTCAGTGAATTTTCGAATTAACTATTGCGAAAGTCCGTTTTCGAATTGAAAAGCATTTAAAGGCGACGCGAAAGGGGCAAATGAACTGCTTAATGGCCCATGGTAACACGTATCATTTGTGCAATTTCCAAAATTTACACACTAATCGCCCGGGATCTAGCACCTTCCTCTCGATTCGCGTGACATTCCAAAACTTGGTGGTATTGCAGGGCATCTTCAGTTGGAGTAGCATAAAGTTAGGGCTGAGTATCAAGAGTAATTCTCCTGCATGACAAATCAGCATCATATCTAAATTGCCTGCAAATACCAAGTTAATTCGCCAAGGCCCTGAATTAATGCATAAGTAGTACAAATGCCCATAGTCCTGGCAAACATG